GTTAGGGTCCACATTCTGCAGAGATGCCTTGACATGGCTCTGTGTCTTCACATATATGTATTCAACAAAAGCCTCTGCACTTTCTAGATCGAATGTTGAGCAATTTTTGTATTATTCGGGGTACTGCCAATCTCAGGCGCACAGTTCCCGAATACTAGTGGTAGGTTGATTTGTGCGGCTGCCATTTTTGCTTTGTTACCAAAACCACTGACACCACCCTGTGTGAACGCAGTGCTCCCGCCGGTACCCAGACTGCAGGCCCAGCAGCTGCCTGGGAACATACTGGCCCTGAGCTGGTCGAGCCCTCTGCCGGAGCTGGAGGAACACCTGATGTACCAGATCCGATTCTCGCAGGATGGGGAAAAGACATGGACGGTACCGTATCTGACTTTCTTGTGATAAACAATATTTAAGAAAAAAAAGAGCTGTGGTCACAGGTTAAAAGTCTCCAAAATGGCGGTAGATGGCCCTATTCACTTAAAGCTGAACTCCAAGTTTTGAAGAAAGAAGGTAGTAACAAGTCAGATGAGAGGAGTGACTCTATGGATACCAGCAGTAGACAATAGAGGGAGCATGGTGGTCTAACCCAAGACTGGGTGCGTCTACTTCTATGTCCACCAGGGCCATGTCTACCCCTATGTCTACCAGGGCCATGTCTACTTCTATGGCCACCAGGGCTATTTTGAAGGCAATAGTCACACATTGGCTGTATCAGAAGGTAGTGAAGAAGGTGCATTAAGGAAACCTTAGAAGTAGTGCAGGTTTGTGTATAACTTCCTGGTCGGCAATGTGCAGAGCAAAGAGCAAAGCATTGTAGGGTGACTCCAACACTGCAAATGCTAATAGTAGTGCATAAATACCTAACGTCTGAGAAGTAACTAGAATCCATTGAGAGCTTCCCTTATATATTCATAGCGGAGGAACAAATTCCTTTTTGAACTCATCCCTTCAGACACAGGAGACAGTGCAATGTGATGCACCATAAACAAAGACACAGGAGTCAGAAATGCTTGTTGTCTATCAGACCCTACAGGTTCCAGGTGGAGTCCGCAACAAGACGCTGTCTGTGGTTTCCGGAACAAGCTATGTGTTACAGCTGAGAACAGCTCCGGGGGCAGACAAGATCCAAGGCTTCTGGAGTGACTGGTCAGCCCGAGTGACCGTCAAAATCCCCTCCAGCACAGGTGAGATAGAAGTCAAAAGCCATTATGTACATAGCTATGGCATCCCTGGAGCCTTAAACAGAACCAGTGAAAGGTTATAATTATTTCAATTTCTACTCTTGAGTTATTATAATAGTCTTATATTTTCCACATTTGTTTGATATTTTTTCCATGATATGTTTGCATTCTCTCCCTGCCAGTGCAGAAGTGGCAGGGAGGTTCAAAGTCCTGTAGGACTCTCCCTGCCAGTGCAGAAGTGCTAGACTGTAATGCTGTTCAAAGTCCTGCCTGAGCTCAGGGCTGAACAGACTCTCAAAATGTAAAAAACCAAAAGCGCAGTCAGAATTACATGGAAGAAAACTAATTTACTCCTCTGCAGAAGATGAGACAGAGTGTCAGTGATCAGCCTGGAGCCCAGGCAGGTCATAGGTCAGCTTCTGTGGGAGGTTTGCAGCCTTATATGTTATTAGTTATATGTATTATATGTTATTGATTGGTGTTTTTTTTTCTTGCAGAGTGGATTATACTGGCAATCGCTCTCTGTCTCCTCTCCCTCATGGTGGCCGTCACATGTGTGTGCTTTAAGTTGCCATTTTTATTCAGGTGAGGAAACTTCATGCATTGACAATATTACACTTTGCTGGCCTTGCTGTCACTTTTGTTCCTTCCTCAGGCTTTATACAATGTAGAGATCCATAAGAATTGTGTAAAGCCTGAGGAAGGAATCTAGTGGGCCCTGAAAGCTGCATCTTTAATAACTTCAGTTAGCCAATAAAAATGATCACCTATAGTAAACCACAAACTTTCTACATTGATCAATGTCTGTCACATGGTACAAGACCCCGTTGCTCATACACTATTATGTAATAGCTCAGCTTGACCATTGCCTTTTAGTAAACTGAAGAACAAGCTGTGGCCTCCGGTGCCAAACCTCCACCGTGTGCTGGACACATTCCTGACCGAGATTCAGAAGCAGTACCAGGTAATCACAATTCAAGGCTTAAGTAATCATTATCAGTTATATCATTTCAGTACAAAACCTGTAAGGAATACCATGAACACAGTTTCTTATACCTATATAACCAGTTGCGTCACATGGGGGTTGCGGGGGGTGCAGCCCACGCCCGGGTGCCACCATTGGAGGGGTGACACCAAAATGACTGACAGTCATTTTGGTGTCACCCCCTATGAAAAGTCGGGCACTCGGTCACGGACCGAGATCCCGACAGTGTCAGCAGAGAGGAGGGGACCCGGCGCATACCTCACCCCGCCGGGTGAACGTCCCCTCCTCTCTCTGCCGGTGTCCGTCACCAAGATGGCCGCCGGCAGGCATCAATGAGATGGCCGCGCATGTGCGATGATGTCACAGCCGGGTGTCACCTGGACGCCTCTGCATATAACAACAACATTGCTGCACTGGTCCACCAGGAGGATAGAGGATACCCTGACAGACCCTATGGAGATGTAATTAGGTCTGGCTCAACTCGTATTGACAGTCCGTTCTTGACCAACAGAATGCCCCTAGTGGGTTCCCCAAAACAAACCTGCAGCTCCGGTGCCTTATTAGTTTTCTGTCAGCAGTCAGCCTTTTCACCTAGCAGAGAGTAAAAAAGAGAGAGCCCTGAGCATCAGTCAGCACAGATATAAAATGTCCTGTGGACAGCAGCCAGAGACTAATTAGTACGTTCTGGCTAAAAGGTAAGAAGTGGACCTAGAACTGAAGGGTATACGCCACCCAAAGCTAGGTGACATGTATATACTGTCCACAATCCTGCCAGCCAGTGCCTCACATGGAGAAAAGGAAATCATACATGCTGGCATGTCAAGGTCATACATTGGTTGGCATGTCAGGATAAAAATGTTTCTTCCCTCTAGTTTTTATGCACCAGCCGCAGTCAGGGCCGGATATCCCACAAGGCCAACCAAGGCCCGGTATTCTGACTCCGATCGTTGTGATAGCGAAATATATCCCTTGCTGAGACCTCTATGCCTGTCCTGTATAAGCAGATATACTCACTGCGGACAATCCTCGTCAGATAGCTGAACTCGTCAATACCGATTCATTCAAAAGAGGTGTTTATTCTTTAACATCAGGGTTACAGCAGATGATAGGAACAGCAGATGAACGGTTATAGTATTGTGCGGTCAGAAAATGATGCCTTTCCTACGTACTGTGCAGATTATATGTGTGTCCTTGTTACATGTGGCTTCTAACTGTGGCCATGACACAGGAAGTACTGCACACAGGAAGAAGAAAGGGGCGTACACTAGGGGGAAATACATCGTCACATGATGAATAATTACAGAAAACATGTTTGTTACAACAAAAGGCCACTAGATGGCAGCATAGGATAACACATGGATTTAGCTATGAGAAAATAGTTAGGCAAATCACACTATATCAATTCTAACCTATATAACAATGCTAATATTAACTGAGGCTATGCATCTCATATTCTATACCCCTATTGGTGCGGCACACCCGGCCTTGGGGCAGCAGGGGTGTGGACTTCCTATCTCTCGATGCCCAGGACATGCAGTTCCGGGCGGTGGGCGGGTAGTTGTTTTCTACATTTAGCCCTGCTTTCGGCAAGCGGAGCTAAATGTACAGCGGGGAAGCCGCCGCTTGTTTTGTACAAGTGATCTCGGCGATGTCGCAGAGATCATTTGTATGCAGCCTGCAGGTCTGCCATTCTCCATAGGCTGTGGCGGGTTAGTGGGTAGGGGAAAGCAAAACAAACGACAAACGTACTCAACAATTTGTTACCAGTTATACAGTAAGGTGCACACGAAATGGGCTTTGAACAGTAGAACAGTAGAAAGGCATCATGGCACACTCACAAACCAGCATGTAAAACAACTTGTCTCACCACTAGGGACAATGACAGAGGTTTGGATACACGTCTTCTGCAAAGGATGTGTAAGCCGCACTGCCGCGCCAAGGCACCTCTTATAGTGCGGTCCTAACTCTAAACTATGAGAGTCTCCATCTTGGAGCACATGGGGCAGAAGATATCAAATTGGGTGCAGGCCTGTCAGGAGGACGCCCCACCTCCTTAAAGGTACAGAAACACACAAGGGATCCCGCACATCTCATTGGCAGCTGAGAAACCCCATGCGTCGCTGCACCAAATCGGTAAAGCAAAACAAACGACAAACGCACTCAACAATTTGTTACCAGTTATACAGTAAGGTGCACACGAAATGGGCTTTGAACAGTAGAACAGTAGAAAGGCATCATGGCACACCTGGCCTTGGGGCAGCAGAGAGAGTAAATCAGGCTCTGCATATATCTGATCTGTTTGGCATAAAAGGGAGGATTCATTGTCAGGTGTGCAGTGTTTGATACATTTTTGGTCTTCTTACCCCAGCCCAACTCAGCGTTTTATGAGAAGACTCATGAGGACGTTCCTCAGCCATCTTGCCTGGAGATCCTCTCCGAGGTGAACCATTCCAACGAAGGACAGACATCCTCCCGAGATTATGTGCAGCTTTCTCCTCCCACCTACCAGAATGAGGACTATTGGCCAAAGCTGGAGCTCTTGGATCTTCACCTAGAAATGAACGATAAAAACCAGCCATCCAGCGCTCTCATCAATCAGACTTATCTGCCCACCAGCTGGAGCATGTAAGGAGGCAGCCACCTTCTTACCTATAGAAGGAACAAGAAGGCCTGCTTGTGGATTGTGTACAAAGTAATGACTGTAGAGAACTGCTCCATAAAACATAAACAGAAGATGAAAAGGTCATGGTGTGTTCTGTATAAAGCTACATGGATTATCTGAAGATCCACAATGCCAAATATCTATATATAAGGAGCACACGGGGATCGGTACAAGAAGTAAAACTATGCATCGAAGGCCCCACCTGTCCAGCATCTTACTGCTTTACACTGGTGGTAATGGTAATCAATCAATCAATCAATCAATCAGGATAAAACTAACATATAGTTCAAACACGTTTGCCGCACCTGCTTTTCAGGCTGAACCTCGGGAAACATAAAAATGACCCTTGCAGTGAAGCTCCCCCCACAAATACTCATTTCATCTGGGGGAACCAATACAGGTACTATACTTACCTTATTCCAAGCTCCCACAGGCTTCATTCCAGCTGCATGGCTGCTCCCTCTTCTCCGCTCTGTCAGTCATAGGCACTCCGCGGTCATCACATAGAATGCAGGACCAGCAGTCCTGCAATGTAAGTGCAGATGCCGAGGACCCACCCACAACCTGGAGCGTCGTACAGAGGAGAAGCACATGAATGTCCCACGGTACTCCTGACCCACATATGACCCTGTGTTCCTCAGTTGGGTGCTGACATCAGGGCCGGATTTCCCTTTTTGGCTCCTGTAGGCAGGAATGGAAATCTGTTTAGCCTTAGCCGGCACCCTTGCCTGCTGCGGGACCCCGGCGGTTTTCACATATGCAGAGAAGGACCCCAACGTCACGTAATGCTGCCCTAAATGCCTGTCCACATCAACAGGCATTTTACAGGGCAGGCTTAGGCAGCCCCGGGGAGCCTTCCCCTGTGTTTGCGGAAGCCGGTGGTTCCTGTAGGCGTCACTGGTCTTGGAGCAGGAGGGTGCATTTTGTAGACTTGTGCGATTCGTTTAGTCCCGATATAAAATTTGTACAAATGTTCAGAAATTTGGACATTCGGGCACATCTGAATTTCCGAATCCCAATGCATCCGAATGTGTTTGAATCCGAATTTTGGATCCCGTCCAAATTTCGTTCAAAAACTAAACTGAATTCGACATGTGACTTTTCTGGCCAATCAGATGTGTTTTTCATGCAATTGATATTTGTAAACTCATCCGAAACTAACGAAAATTTGGATTTCGTCCGAATCCGAAACCCGAACCGAATTGAATTTTGCATCCGAATCCCAAAATAACGAAATATCCGAATCAAATTTTTCCGCAGCTCACATGTCTAGAATGCAGAATGCACCCTCCTTGCTATTGCCGGTATTGTACCTTGACACAACACCGGGAATTAGATAGAGTAGGTACATGCACGGCACCCCTCTATGCAGGGCGCCGGTGCCGGCACGTGCCTACTCTGCTTAATGGTAAATCCGGCTCTGGCTGACATGACAGAAGATGGCGCCACATACAAATGAAGAGAAACGGGGAGAAGTCACCAGCACACCAGTTTCCTCTTTATCGATCCATCTTTATTGACGATGGATGATCATGGCATCACAATGAGATGCAAGGAGAGAGTAGAAGAGGGAAGAAGGACTGAAGGGTAATTTTTTTTGTTCCTGAAGTTTAAAATGTATATAAATCCTATCAATTATTTGTTTCCTTTTAGTCTGTTAAATACACTATTAAAAGCTTTTTGTTACATAATTGCAAAAGTGAAAACAAAACCTTTTATTTTTTTTATACTTTTTATTTGTTTTATACTCTGTGCAGAGTCCCTTTAAAGGAGAACTGTGGGGGTTAAGGCTTTTCCCCATAGTTCTACTTATGGTAACGGGAGGACACAAACTAGCGTCCTCCCGTTACCCTAGGCTGTAGCTTGCGGTATATTGAGACGCCGCAGCTGAAGCGGATCCCGACAATTATGTCTGGATCCGCCCAGATGCGTGATTGACAGCTAGCTCTGCCTATCAAGAGGCAGAGCCAGCTGTACCCGCCCCCTTCCCCGTCCGTTCCACCAGTCAGCGCTGGTGGATCGGAGCGGGGAGGGGGAATCCAGCCCCTCTCCTGTCACGGCAGAGAGCTGTGACAGGATTGAGAGGTGAGCGAACGCCGGTATGTGTTCTCTCACCTCCCGATCTACTGAGCCGACCTGTGACAGTCTCATTGTCACAGGTCGGCTAGAACTATGAGGTGAGTGAAAAGCACTCCCCTCATATTTCTCCTTTAAGATGAAGAAGTCAAAGAATGCTCTTTATTGTGCAATGTCTCCATGTGGTCAGCAGGTGGCAGTGTCTTCTTACAGTCCGGACCATGCTTACCCAAATTCTAGGACTGATATTTCTTCACTCCTTTACCTGCCTATAGCTGTAGATTATATTTTATGTGAAAGAAATTTGTTGGATTCTTATCTCATTAAAAGGACGCTAAAGGATGTTTTCAACTTATTAATTAAAAAGGTTTTTTTTCCCGCTAAGTACCTAATATACAGTCATCATCAATCTCGCTATCTGAACGTAATTTACATTGTTACATTTTAATGAGCTCTCTGCAGGTATCAGCGTGTTCTCGTTTTTGTGGCACTTTCTTTCCGTAACGACGAAAGTGTAAAATCTATATTGGCCGTTAAAAGTTCATTTTTGAAACTCGTAATATTTTTATGTGCGATTTCCATTTTCATTCTGTCAAAAACTAAAAAAGCGGAGGGGAGAAAAAAAAAGAAGATCCGGACTCATAAAAAAAAAACAATTGTGTCACTGCTGGTTGTTGGACTATCAAAAGTTTGAAACTCCATTTGATCAGAGTTTATGCCGTCATAAAACCGGCGTATGTTGCGTTACTGTGGAGCGGAAGCAGAGTGACAGAGCAACTACCATAGTAGGCAAACTTAAAGGAGAACTATGGGGTTTTTCCCCCATAGTTCTCCTAAGGGTCACGGGAGGACACAAACTAGCGTCCTCGCGCCACCCTAGGCTCAGTATACCGCGAGCTACAGCTGGCGGCATACTGAGACCGCCGCAGCCGGGACGGATCCACATTACTGTCGAGATCCACCCAGCTGCGTGATTGACAGCTGGCTCTGCCTATCTAGAGGCAGAGCCAGCTGTACCCGCCTACTCCCATCCGTTCCGCCAGTCAGCGCTGGACGATCGGGGAGGGGGGGGGATGAGTGACAGTCACAGCTCTCTGCAGGGAGGTGATCGAGAAGTGAGCGAGCGACAGTATGTGTTCGCTCACTTCCCGATCTATTGAGCCGTCGTGTGACAGCTTCATTGTCACACGTCGGCTCGATCTATGAGGATGAGTGAAAATCACCCCCCTCATAGTTCTCCTTTAAACTATGACCTTCGAGGATGCCCAATCATGGCTCTCACTGTTCTCTGTGCCCTGAATCAGCAAAGTCTTGCACCTGACCTGTGGTCAGGTGCAAGGCTTTAGCCATTTAGGGCTCACAAAGCACAGCGGCTTGTGCGGGGTGCTCGGCTGGCGAACACACGAGCTGCCGATGATCGAACATCGAGCCCAACCCTAACTTTTAACTTTTGGCCTGCCCATAGCATTTTTTTTGGTTTCTGCAAGGTTTTCCTTTAAAAAATGGGCTCTTATTTTGGGGTTTTCATTTAGTTTTTGAGTAAAATGTTTATTATTTTATGTTGATAAAGTTGATATTTTATGTTCTATGTTAAACTGCATTTTAAAAATATGTTTTGCAGCAAAGCTTACCAATAAAAAATCTTCACAGGAACACAGATTTTTGATGTTTAATTTGTCTCAGAAGTTCTCCTTAATGGGGTCCTCTTCTCCCCGGATCCCATAGAACCCTCATGGGCTGCTATGACTCATGTTACGCCAATGACAGTGGACTGGAAAGGTAAAAAGTGAAGAAGGACGAAGGATTGAGGTCACAGAGATGACATTACGCACCTGTATTCTCATCACACTTGTCAGGTTGTGAAATGCGGCTTATGAGATAAAGGAATACACAAAACAAAGAATGATTTCTACATCATGATTATAAATAGTCACATCTTTTCTGGAATGTAGACTTCCCTGCCGTGTCAACGTGTAAATACGTCTGCGTCATGGAGCGGTTGTGAAGAATAAAAAAAGCCTCCCAGTATTCTCTATCTTGTAAAGAAGGATTAAGAACCTGAAATCCTTTCCCTGCTTACAGTGCAGAGATGTAAACATTTTATTACAATGCAGCCTGGCCATTTATTCTTCATGAATAATGAATTTAATTAACTGTCGACGACTGAAAACATTTACAGAAGCATGCACAAGCCTCTCCCTTCATACGCAGAGTCCCTCGTAGACACCATGGCACTATGCATGGGCATCCTACATTGCAAAGATGCCTTTGTAAATTTGTAGGTTCGAATTCATACACATACCGGCGTTCGCTCACCTCTCGACCCTGTCACGGCTCTCTGCCGTGACAGGGGAGGGGCTGGATTCCCCCCCTCCCCGCTCCGATCCTCCAGCGCTGACTGGCGGAACAGACGGGGGAGGGGGCGGGTACAGCTGGCTCTGCCTTTAGATAGGCAGAGCCAGCTGTCAGTCACGCAGCTGGGCGGATCCAGACATAATTGTCGTGATCCGCTTCAGCTGCGGCGTCTCAGTATACCTCAAGCTGTAGCTCGCGGAATACTGGGCTTAGGGTGAAGTGAGGACGCTAGTTTGTGTCCTCCCGTTACCGTTAGGAGAACTATGGGGAAAAGTCCTAACCCCATAGTTCTACTTTAAGGCAAAGCTCTCATATAAGGTTGTCAAATAGCACAAATATCATACAAAGAACAGCAACAACAGCTTAATTGGTTGAACTTAATGGACCTTTTTCTACCTTGCTAACTATGTAACTGTGTAACCAACAACATCCAATGACATCTCAGTCTAATGTTAATGAAATGGGTACAGCCTGACCTCGTATTGGCTACAATGGGTCATTGCACATTTCACATTACTCTGTGTATTACAAGCCCA